AGACGAACCGATGGACACATCAATGCCACAAGATAATGTTGTCCATAAAAGACAGGTGGTTCTTGACAGCGATCTTCAGCCGTCGACATCGGCGAGTAAGGCACCGCCGCGACGTGAACAGGATGTGCGTCAGATAATCGAAGAAAGACGACAACAAGATAATCGACGAGAACCGGAACCTCGCGAACCAGAAAATCGTCGCGAAGTTCATAAACCGTCCCGATTCAATAACTCGCAAAGACGTTCACAGTTCATCCGAAAAACGTTTAATATGGATGATCTGGAAGATCAACGAGCTGAGATAGTCCGATATCTCGGACTGGACATCGAATCGGAACAGTCAGGAATCATCTTGGCTCAGTTGCAGCATCTGCGACAGTTCCTTATCGATTCGAATTACGCGGAGGAGATTCGAGAAAGCAGACTGGGGCGATTGGAAATCACAATTGAAGATGCGAATACGTATTATACGCCCATCAGACAGTGTGGTCTGCCAAGCCTGCTGGACTTAAATCTATTGGGAGTTCCATTGGATACCGTCGATACAACGGGATGGACCCAATTTGAATACCAGGAGATAAAAGAACGACGGGAATATGTCGCGCAGTTCATATTACGACATGTGAACCCGGCATTTAAAGTGCTGGCAGCACGAGCAGCGATCGGCTTGGTAGTTGATCCTACCAGCCATGACGCAAGAACGTGGGGTCAGAAGATCTTCGCTGCACGAATGGCGCATTATTCATCAATTAGCCAATTGAGCTCGGATATGATGAAGAACAAAGTCCCATTAGTGTTTCGGGATAAAGCAGCCAAAATGGGGTCAGCCGCGAAACATCAAGCGATTGCTAAGAAAGCGGACGATGACCTGAAAGGTGTTAAGAACAGATTTGAAGACAATAATCTGCGGACAATTTTCAACTCTAACTACGAGGAGATGCTCGATCGGATCCGCGAGACAATGGACACCCAGTATGTTGAACCGAAAGATCATGTCCATACGTATATCAAAGAGCATCTACACGGACATAAACAACCGGCATCACCTCAAATCCCTAACGCACCCGGAAGACGAGCTGCTAGGAATCAGCAGATCAGAGATCATTACGAGGATGTCCGACAGCGGTTGGCAGATGATCCTCGAAACCGGGACTTACAGTTAGAAGAAGACGACGCTCGGCATCGACTTGAGGCGATCAAACGAAGTCGCCAGGGAAAAGGGCGTGGACCACGTCATGTCAGCGTCCGAGTCGTACATGAGGAGCAGGCTGCAGAAGTCGCACCGGCGGAACCGGCAGATCGAACTTCTGATCGAAATCAGCCAGCTTCGACTCGAAAACGTCAGCCGCGAGATGGTGGCGACGGAGATGAGTCGAACGAGATGATGGAATAATGCGAAAGATTAATAAGGAGATGCTACGGCTTAAAGTCGGCTCCCTTATGGTCCATCAACTCAGCTCATCTTTAAGTGTGAGAATCGACGGTAATTAGCCGGATCTCTAAACGGAGTTGCTACGGTATAACCTGCCGGCTCTCTGTAATAAGGATGAGATGTGCGACAGATGAACTTTACCAGGGAGGCAAGCTGAAACGAGCTTGAAAGTCGATACCGAAACGACTACAGTTCCTTCATGACATAAATGGAAGATGAATTATTACGATGTCGCACATCTGGATCATCTCAAAGATGATCTTACCAGGGAGGAAGCGAACTTCGCTTGTCTACACGACGTCCCTCCATGACCAATACGGATCTCATCTGACCGAAGTCGTACAGTAGATACGCAAATTATCCCAAAGACGAAGCAGTATTCATAAGTCGTACGATGATACGCACTGATTCTCAAGCGGATCTGACGTGATGAAAGTCGCATTGCGATGCGCAAGATGCTCAAGCGGAGCGAAGTTGCTCAATGGAGCAGGAATGGGCCAAAGTTCTGGAGACCTGACTGGAGGATCCTAGTCTACGGATTTTGATTATTACTTCTGTTGATCTGTTTTAACTGTTGATATAGTATTTTTGATACAGATCTCTTTATTTTCACATCGTGGAATTGAAATTGTATAGACTTGATGTGATAAATGGACTAAAAGAGATGATGTTTTTATTAGCATTTTTTTTTACGAGCACACACAGGCCGTCGCCAAACGATCGGATTCAACACGGAGATGGATCAGCCTCGAACGGAGCTCGGCATCCCTCCCAGAGGCATGTGAGCCATGGCTGCACTCACGTACACCCTCACGCCTGTGGCGTCAAGCGGATGACGTGTCTGTGTTGTGTCTCTTCTGATTGGTTGACGGCTAAAGCCGTCCATTGTATTTGCCTTCTGTGGGCGCGCCTATGTGCGCTGCGAAGAGCGTTGATTTAGCTCTTCGCTTGGCAGATTTGCCAGTGTGCAGTCAGTAGTGATGTGAGTTGGACTTTCACTCAATAAAGTGTGTCTATGCTAGTGGATGCCGTGCGTTGTGCATTTATCCAGTATTGATAGCATATCACACAACGCAGGATCTTGTCAGTGGAGATCTCTGTCCTGGACTCTTCCAGAGTACCACGTTATAATATGTTACATGAATAAATTTCCGAATTGAATGGAAATACGAACTAAAAATTCTAGAATGACTGAATGAGAACTACATTTCCTCTCCGGTAGGGGTTTCTCGTTTAAGATAATATGTATTTGAATGAATCTTGAATTACGAAAATTTCTCCGTTCCGCTTTGAAAATAGAATGTCTCTGTAATGAATAAAAAATTGAAGAAGTAATGAAAAATAATAAAACGAGGCAGTTAGAAAAGTAACCAGAAGAAATTAGAAACATCCTAGAATTAATTCATTGTAAAATTTCAGTGCGAGCATTTTTTCATTCCGCTCTGAAAATAAGCGGAGTCCATGCTGGAGCGGCTCAGTCTAGGTGAGTGGGTGCACGTGTTTCCGGAGGCCCGCGTCAATCAGGACCACCAGTTGATCAGGATGAAATGGGGTAACAGACATTTATTGGCTGGTTTATCATTTGTTTATTTATCTTCGTAGTAATAGTTTTCTATTTATTTATTGGCTGATTTATCATTTGTTTATTTATCTTCGTAGTAATATTTTTTTATTTATTTATTGGCTGATTTATCATTTATTTACTTATCTTCTTAGTAATATTTTTCTTATTTTTTTATTGGCTAATTTATCATTTATTTATTTGTTCTCCTAGTAATATTTTCGTATTTTAGTTATGTAATTTTGTTTTTAAAAATGCCCAGTGGTTGTTTCTTCTTGTTGCAATAAATTTTGTATTTGCATTTAAAAAATAATTGATTAGTTTTAACTTAGTTTTGCATTATAAGTAAATCTGAATTGGCTTAAGATCGTTGCGTTTGTTTCGAAAAAGAGCATGGAGAGGACAACATTTCCCGGCTAATTACTGTATTTAACTTTATTTAGAAAAAAATGGCTTAAACCAAATTGAATTATTTGAAATAATGTACCAAAAAAATGTAATCAGTTAACGCCTTTCCGTATTGTTAACAATAAGGTTAATATTACTGTGGTGCCAAGTGAATTCCGCACTTTTTCGTACAGCATGCTAGACAAGCGCTGTATGGACGCCTTTAGCGTTCACTGGGTTCACTGTCTACAGGCTCATGAACTGGCTGAACAAGCAATTTCAAATAATTCATATTCAGTAGTACGTGCGGGTACGGCAAAGCTATTCGAGTTAGATAATATTCACACCAGTTCGCATTCGCATATTTTGTAAACATAAATTGTAAAAGCATATTTTGGATTAGATTCAAGTCTATAAATCTCGATAGAGAACCGTTTTGAAGCAGGAACAATTTTTCAAAAGTGAGCAACGCTCGGCCCTTTGCTACTGGCTGCCTGACGCTGTTCAGCGCGTTCAACGAACGCTGAACCCCATATACAGCTCTAGAGCATCACGTTTTACGAAATGGTGCGGAATTTACTTGGCACTACAGTATTAAAATAGGTGTAGTTGCTTTAATATATATTAATTCGGCTTTATTTAAGTGGGATTTTTCCCTGTTTCAAACTCACGGCTTGATGTTAATGTCATAAATATAGTGCTGAAAAATGCTTAATAAATATGAAATGTAAAATGTGTTGGCTGAAAGTAGCCAACACCGTGCAGGCCCGCTTCGGCCGCCTGTTGCAGGAGCAGAACGGGAATCACGCCGTGGTTGTCGCCGAGGATGCCGATCTGAACAAGGCGGCCGGCGTCGCTTTATACAAGCAGACCATCGCCGACGCCCAGTTGGCCGGCTTCCGCGTCCTCGTGGGCGGGGAACCCATCAGCCACGCCTCCGGTGGCAACTTCGGCTAACCGACCATCATCCCCAACCTCTCGCACAACGCCCCGTCCTCCTCAAGGAGACCTTCGCCCCATTTCTTACGCCCTGAAATACCGGACTTCGAAGGAGGCCATCGCCTGGAATAACGAGGTTGACCAGGGATTGCCGTCCAGCATTTTCCCGCAGAATACCGGGACGATGCACGCGTGATTGGGCGTCGGCGAATCGGACTGCGTGATCGTCAACGTCAATAGCAGCACGTCCGGAGCAAAGATGGACGAGCCGTCGGGGCGAATAAGCACACCGGCGGGGGGACGGGAGAGCGGGAGTGATCCGTGGAAGCAGTATATGCGCCGCCGAAGGCGTACGAATAATTACAGCAGGGAGCTGCCCCTCGCGCAGGGACTGAGTTTGATTTTTTAGAGTGTTCTTCATGCCGGTCGCTTGATTGTGGTGTTTGTTTGCGGTGTGTTGTACTCGTAGTATAGTGGCTTAGAAAAAAACGCTGCTCGCTTAAAAATGGCGGCGCTTACGTCATAAACTGGAGTTGGGAGCTACACCTTCCAGCTGTAATTTTCCGGTTGGACTTTATAACTATAGTTCCTAGATCTACTTTATGAATCAGTAAGTTTGTACACTGCATATACTTTACAACTGTAGATACAATGCAGTTTACATGGAACGTATGGGTCTGCGCCTTTATTCATACCTCTTTAATTAGAGTTAAGCTGCGATGTTTAATGCAACTTTTCTATTGAAGTAACTATTAAAGAAACAATGTTCAAAGAAAACAAACACAATACCCGAACATAGTCTTGCTAAGATGGCTCGCATTGTGTGCAAAAAGAACTTCTGTGAGGCAGCAATAGGCTCCTGCATTGTCATCATGCTGATTCTAATAATATTGCTGGAAGCATTTTTTGGAATTAGCTATAATATTAAAACTATTATTAACAACTGTACGGTACTGGAAATTGAAGGCCTATTCTCCGGAAACATCACCCCAGGGACGAGTATGAAATTCGGTGTCGACAATTCGACGTTTTGAGTAGGTAAGTCTGAAGCGCTTATTCATTTCCGTAGACAGAACCTCCAACTTGCGCTTATTTCGCGTAATGTTGAACGGATAATTAACCATAATATCGTTTGGTTCATCTGGCGGTGCAAGGCTTTCCAGTAGCAATTCCTTCAAACTTTCCAGATTCAGCTGTTTTCTGGCCTGCCGTGTTAACGTAAATCCCTTCACTTTTATTGTTTCGTGACCAGTGTTGGTACGATAAGCGTAGCTTTTAGGCCCTATAAAGAAAAGTAATACACACGTATAGTACTCAGGAATAATTAATTATTGGAAGTTAATGGTGTACCAAGCGCCACAAATTTTTCTATGTGCTCGTTAGGTTCCAGCGATGATGACAAGTCGCCAAGACAAGTTCCCGTTGGTGGGTCAGGCAGTTCGTCTTTGTGAACATAGAAAATGCTATCTGCAACGAACCAAAACCCTATGAATAAAGAAGGCAAAAACAAAATCACTATTATTACTGCATACCGGTATCATGATATAGTAGGCGGTCCCCAACCATCTCCATAAATTTGAGGAGGTGCAATCGTGCATAAGCAGTAGTGAAAGCCGCAATGACAACATTGGTTTTCTTATTCGTTACTATATAATCCTTCTTCGAACGGTATTGTACGGCCATGACTTCATCCGTAACCAAGTCGAATCCAGCAACTTCGTATTTATTTGAAAATAAAAAGTCATGAAAGACCTCTTTCTTCTCCACCATTGCCGTGTTGGAACGGTCTTCCTGCTGCCCAAACTTTCCCCTGTAAAAAAAAACAATTCATCCATAGTTAATTAATAAAGTCGGGTTTTTGGCAGCTTCACGATTCTTACCAAAAACTATTCAACATAAGCTTGCAAAGCGCTCTGAGCGCATCATTTTTAGCAATATTATCTTTATCCAGCTGAATATTTTCTTTACCAAGGAATTCTTTAACATAAAAGTCTTTCTCCTCGTTTGTGTGACAGTTTGAAGGATAGCCAGACGCTTCAGTTTTCAGCTTCAAAAACAAGTCAATGTACTCCCTGAATAGATATTGCATTTGCTCGGGGTAGTGCCACGCAGAATAAATTTTATCGATGCGGTAGCCAACTTCTAACGCTCGATGAATTTCCGGTGTACACCCCGTTCCTTCCAGAGCCCTATCGTCATCCTCATGATCACAGGGAGAGTTAACACGCTCTTTCACGCACCTCGCGCATAACGGGAATGTTAGCTTATCCGTTCGGTAGGGCAGCACTGGAAGGAATAAAGACGGTGGTGGAATAATGCGACATTTTACCACTCCAAATATTTTTTCCACTGGTGGAAAGTCGTTAGTAATAACAACCGGTGGTCCAACGGGGTAGGGCAAATTTTTGTTGATGTATGGATATTCGCTAATAACGTCAAGTGAATAAATTTTCTCCCCTGGTCCGCATTTATGGTAAAGCTTTATTGCATTTGTTCGACCACCAGTAAAGGCATCCCGCGGATGCAACGGCTCCATCACGTTGGCGAGCTCAGTTAGCTTTCGAAACTCAATGTCAGATGCTAATTTCATGTCGTAATCGTGCTCCCAAATCGATACAATCGTGTATCCCAGAGTTTTTATTGCATCAAGGCGCAAAAAAGTCGCTTTCTGAACCTCTTCCATTGGTTTACCAAGAAACGGGTGCATGCATGCTTTTCGTGGTACAGTCGCTGCAGCCGTGCCACATACATCCTAGAGACAGAAATATTTTGTCGGTAAATGTCAAAGATCGCAAGTGATTAAACGTATTATCCTGTGACAGACCTAAAAATTCGTAAACTGTTTTGGTTTCTGAATGGAAGCCATCAACGGTCCAGTGCCCGATTCGAAATTCTTTTTCCAGTTTTGTATCGTTATCCAGTTCTATCGATCGTAGCCACCGTTCTGCTTTTACAGATGATTTCTTTCCCTGTCCTGGTGGACCGATTAAAGCAATTTGGCTCTTCTTCAGCATTCGCGCTCTCCAAAAATAATTGCACATTCCAGGGGTTGTAAGGCCAGAAGCAAATGGACATAATCCACCAGATACTTGTTGGAAAAGCATTCGAAATTTTTCACATGCTTGTTGTAGTACGAGAACGTCCTGGGAACAGTACCTGTGAAACAGTTGCATATAGCGAGTGTATTATTAATAAGAAAAGATCGGACATACTTGATGAAATGTGCATTAAAATCAAACTGATTGTGATGACGGCGTCGTTCCTTGCGAAACCATTTTATGGAACGTTTCCGCTCACATCTTTTCATGGATTGGTAACCGTAGTCATGCCGATCTGGCCAAGGGATGATCTTGTTCCAATTTTCGGGTTTATTCAGCTTGTGTGGAAAATCTCCTTTAGTTTCTTGCAAACCAAACGCCTTCGCGAAATTCCTTAGTGACGATGGCACGTAGTTCATGGAATCTCGAAATTTTATTTTGAGTTTACTGAAATCCATTTGCATAATTTTACTACCATTAAAAATCAGTGGGTGTGGAATAACACCATTTTTTACTAAATAGTTTAACAGGAAATACCCGTCGAACCCCTGAAATACAAACCACATCAATCAGTTATGAATAAGCTGCTGCTGCTGTTGATTTCGATATTTTTTACCTTTAAATTATGCGCAATAAAAGTGTATCCCCGAAAACGTTCGCTGAAAATGAAATCCCCAAGAGCATTTGCGATGTCGCCATTAATGTTTCCATCCTCAGGGAGCACAAACTTCTCATCCTTCGTGGCGATGACTGCTAGATTCACTCGGAATTCACCTGTGTCATCTTGGTAGGTTTCGAGGTCGAAGTATGCAAATTTTTCGTTTTGATGTTTCGCTTTCTCGTTATCCGTAAGTTCGATGGGCTGCATATAGCAGACATGGCTTTCTTCCGGCAAGTGAAAGAGTGAACAGGTTGCGCAGTACACTTCACCACAACGATGTTGCTGATCGTCAATATCCAGTTCGATTTCCGGTTCGTCTTCGTCGTCATCGCAGTTGTCAGCATCTCTTCTGTTATCTCGAGGTGCGTCGTAATTTGTCCGCATTCGACGTTTTACAAGAGAAACGAAAGATTTGCATATTCCACATACAAAAAACTTTGAACAGATGGGACTGGTTCCAGACTTGTGCCTTTCAAAACACTCCTGGCCATAAAAGTCGCGATTACATTCCGAACAAGGTATTTTTGAATCTTTTTGCATCTTGCACGCTGCAGACAGACATTGGTGACATTTAAACTCACACCGGTGGTCTTCTCGTTGATTGTAGCCTTTCATGCAACGGTAACAGTAGTAGTGATGCTCGAAGTAAGCCGGCAAAGATGTCAGAACATCAAAATGCCGGTCATGATCGAGCAACATAATACGCTTCTCAGCATAAGCGCCACAGTAGACAACTGAGTTTCCGTGGTCGACAGATACTACAATAATCTGATAATTTGGCAGAACTTCTTCAAACCGAGGAACGTCTTCCAGGCTGTATTCTCTATTTGGCAACCGGGCAGCCCGCAGCAATTCTCTGGTTTTTTCATCCTGCAGTTTCTTGGTTCGGTAGAGCTTTGTATAAAATTCTTTATCGCCATCCGCATGCGCTTTAGCGACCACAATTGCTCTAGCCATACATAAACTGTCCGAGTTTCGAATCTGGGTGATGCACCGTTTTTTGTCCAAAATTTGCCGCAACAACTGGGAGACGTTCTTTCTGCATGAGCCGATTGGTGTATCTGTATGCTGCACTGACAGTTCAAAAGACTCGTCCAATAAAAACGCTTGATTTGAATTCAAAATTCTTTTGATTGTCGTCATCCATCGCTCGATAGTCAACTGATCGCGTTGAATAGGTGGCATCCAAATAGGGTACTGCAGTGCCGCCTGGTATATGCGAATTCTCACCAAGTTGTGCGCAGGTATTTTGGAAATCACCGTTTCAAGGATATCTTTCAACAGCAGAGTTATGGTCTTCACTGCGTACTTGAACGATAAATTTTCAAGGCCGTTTATCTGACACTTATAACTCTCAAATAAAACTGAAAACTTTTGCGAATATTTGGCTCCGGTTTTTTCCAACTCATAATGTTCTTTAATATCATACAAATCTGGATCAAGCTCTTCTAAACGCTGCGCAGGTACACCAGCCGGAGCTGCAGAATAATTATGATCAAGAAGCGCGTAGTTATGATTAAAGAGAGCACTATCTGCAAATTCAGTTTCCGCGTCGGTCTCAAGGGCAGTTGACGGTATTGACGGATCAGGAATTTGTGTCATGGTGTAGAAAAACAACCTGATGGAAGTACTTTGCTATTCGCAGAAATCCAGCCTCATATAAGCAGCTTATTTATATGTGTAAGCAAAATTCCGTACAGCATTTTATAGTTACATCGGCCAACAAAATTTAATGACTCATTCGATGAAACGTGCTGGATGCGATAATATTCGCAACACGTTTTTTATTAGGCGCAATCAGCGTTCGAGGGAGGAAACACAGCGCCACAGCGGATGCAACATCTATTTTTTTGGTCATCTGCAATAATATAGACCACCTCGAAATCTTTGTAAAATAGCGAGATATATATTAACGCATACCCCAGTAAGAATTCTGATCTGGTCTTTTGCTGCGGCAGTGTCGTTGCAGTCGATGGGTAGCTCTTTCTTCAGGAATCGGCATTCGGCAAAGCAGGCATTTCGTACGGCTTTTTAAATAGTAGTCCAGCATCCAATTAGAGTACGATTGCGCTTTGTTAGGACTGTAGCACTTGTCGTTACTTAGAGCAGCAAAACGCGGACAGCCAAGTGTATCAAGATTAATGACATCAGATTTGAGCAGTTGTTGAAGAATGAGACACTTTTGTCCCCCTTTTGCATAGAAAACGACAACGGCAGGATCATCAACATAGCGGAGATAATTTTTAAACGATCGATTTAACTGATGTTCTAACTCTGAGAAAGCTTTATCGAACACAGCATCATTATCCGAAGAACAAATGCCAAATTTATTAACAATGTAATTGTTTGGCGCTAGCGCAAAAGTGGTATAATAAAGGCAATAAAATTCGACAGAACTTATTGCAAGTGACGTAATAATTGGCTTCCCATTAAGCGTATACCACTTAATGTCTACAACAATATGGTAAACCATTCTTTGAACAAAACAGAATCAGAAATCGTTAGTTTCCGCTGCGTAATGAGATGAAATAACTGTTATATTTGTAAGTTACGCACTGACAAAGTATTTTATATATAGCATCAAAACGGATGCAGCGCAACGTCACGCTGTGGTGGCAAAATACTTTGGTGCACAGCAAATTATTTTTTACTCCTATACAAACAGTACGTGAAAAAACTGGCGTTGGTGACGTGACTTTATTGCATTAACTGGCGGAAAACAGACTGTATAAGCATAGAGTTATCACGGACTACAGTTTTCAAACTGAAATAATAATTAACATAAGCACAAACCATTCGATCATTCGAAGATTTGCTACTGGTAAATAAATGAATAAGAGAAGTAAACGACTCGCCGGAGCATCGTTTTAAAATAAAAAAGCAGCAGTACTGTCCACACACGGTACTCCATTCCATTTGTAAACGATGCGCTTGCGAAATAACTCTGCCAGCGTTCTTGCAAAAATTTTCAATGTGGCGGCCGTAGTAATATGGTTCATGTCCGTAAGAGTCAAAATATTCCAATTGTCCTGGTACAGCCTGGTAGAACGCCAGCCAATGCGAGCCAGGTTTTGCAGCTTCGTCAGTATTGACAACACATGCCCATGGCAGTTTGGCTGGAAGCAAAGATGGTAACATGTCCGCAGCAAATACACCAATGAAAGCGTCTCGTGTCACCGCGCTTGAACGTAATACATGGCTGATTTCAGCGGTGTCCATTGTAGTGCCAGTCTGTATACAACAACAGCAACGTTAAAAATATTCTTTTGATTTTGTCCTGTAAACAACGGGCGACCGAGAGCGCGAAGCGCTCCGGTCGCCCATTGTTTACCACATCCGTCACGATTCACTTCAGCGTCGTCAGAGGCCGACAGCGCGCCCACCCCCGCTTGCGCCCCTGAAGCGTACCGCTCAAGCAACAACACTTTTGTGCAAAATCTTACACACTCACTTACGCTGTGCTTTTTATGCAGTAAAATCCGCAATCAACTGGCGATGTGAATTAACTTCAATGATATTATCCCACACCATCATCGTTATCGCCATAATTGGTTCAGTTAATTGGGCGGCAAACTGCAGACGAATCGACAGATTTCCTTGGCGCACGGTGCTCATTGGTCCCCGGCCAGTCCGTGAAGGCGTCAGGTCGAATCCCCAAATAGCAAAACCTTCCGCAAATGCTTTACGGTCAAATGGCAGCGCCCCGTCCGGTGCGTGCAAGCGGCCAAGCGTTTCCAACAGGCCGTCATATGATTGTAAATAATCACCCGTGGCGAAATTTGGTCGGTAGGCTTGAGCAGGATACGATTGTCCGTCGACTTCGACGCTTATATAGTTGAGGTTGAAATGTTCAAAGTTAAATGGATTACCTCGGCGCAGCCCGTGAAAGCTCGAGCTCTTCACGAATCCCACAAAAACACATTTGGGTACTGCGCCAATGTGTAAATTAGCCAGCACCGTGCTCTGAATGTTGCCAATGTCATTAACGCGCATACATACTCGCTCTATGGGATATTTCACTGTTTTTGTCGATAATTGGGCCGTGACCGCAGACAGGTAAACCGGATTAGGCACGAAACGTTTAACATATAGTCGTGGATTACGAAGGTATGCTTTAAAAGTGTCTACTGGAAGATTGGCATACGACCGCAAATAGAATTCCGGCTTATTTAGGATGAGGCGCACATGTAGCGGTACACCGGTGATCAGATTTTTTCCCTGCTGGAAAATGTCGGTGCACAATTTGGCGCTAAAAGGAACGTACTCGTTGGTCACAAACACGGCCTTTCGCGTTACTTCTCCAGCGTTGTTGGCATGATCTTCTAGATAGCCAGGGCTGTCAAAATAAAATCCTGCACTTGTTGCCTGGCTTTGAAGGGCAGCCGGTGTGTATCCCAACAAATTTTCCAAGTAAGCTCGGTAGGCATACAATGGGGTGGAATTAGTTATCAGGCGGTTCGCCATTGTTACCTCTACCGAGCTGAATATAGAATGCGCTATGAGGTTGACTGGTGCTACCAGATCCGTGTTTTCAATACGCGTTGCCGCCCCAAGTCCTGCAATTTGCTTTTTGATTGCAATATCCATTTCCAGCGTAATTTCTGGTAGCACTAGCAACGCTGATGTTGATGGTGGGATGTAAAAAGAGATTTCTCCCGAACTAATTTCTTCTGTTTGGCCTGAGGTCGGTAGAATGCGTTCTTCTTCTGTCCGCACAAAATCCGCGAGAGTGGCTGGAACGGAAAATAAATCCGACTCAACCTGCATAGCTGGTACGCTTCCTTCCAGAATAAAAGCCATTTTAAAATGCGTCCTCAAATTCTCTCGGGGAATCCGTTTAAGCCGTTTCAATCGTATGGAATGTCTCTTGATCTTCTTCGTTTTCTTGTGCTGCTGCTTGAGCCGCTTGATGCCTCCTTGCTGTTGAGTTTGCGATGTGAGTGCTTCCGAAATTTTTTCTCCTACTTTCCTGGACGTCTCATTAAGAACTGTTGTCGCTGCGTCGCATAGGTGAGGCTTTGCTGCTTCCATGGCTGCTCTAGCATGTGGCGCGGCAGCTTTAATAACCGGAGCCGCAAAATGCGCTAATTTACTGAGCATTGCGCGCAGAAAATTGGGCAGCATAAAACCACTCCCATTTTGCATTAAACTTCCGCGATACCGTGTCATGACGGCTCCATACCCGTGCTGACTACCGGCACCCGTGGCGGTCCCGGCAAATAAATCCAGATAGAACGATGGTGACGGTTCAAAGAGGATAACGGGCATTTTTTAGCGATAGTAATACTGAATGGGCCGAAAGTGCAGCTTTACCATTGATTTTCCAGTCTGAAAAATTGCCGGTTCTCCCAGATCAGTTGCAATGTTGATGTCGATTGTGTCCAGTCGATCGTATAAAACAGGTAGATAATGTGGATCCTCGAACCTTTCCGAAACAATTTCGAAGCGCGGAACACTTGCTTTAATGGGGAAAGCGCGCAAAAGTTGCATAGTTTCATCACCCACAATATTGTAGTCACACTTGTTGCAGTACACAAAAATTGATTGGTTCCCAATGTGCATGTTCACAGGTTTATCCGCCGTCATTAGTACAGAAGTTTCCAAGAGCTGCAGCTCTGCCAATGCCTTTAACTGGTCGGACAGCGTGGTACTTGCGGAAGCAAAATTCGTTTTTTCCATCAAAAAATTTTCATACTGTTCGGAATGTGCTGCAGAAAATCGTCGTTCTTTGAATCCCAGCATACGGGATAGATGCAAAGATGAGGGAGGAAAATCCAGAAAAACCCGCACGCTAGGAAACTTTACTTTGAGCTTGGGTTCAGTTTTTAATAATTCGAATTGGAAAGCCTGTTTTTCCAATGCAGAATCGCCGAACGGCTTTAACCGCGGCACTTTACCGTTTATAAAATCAATGATATCACTTTTCTCATAGATTCCTGCAGGTACTGTAATTGTGTCGCGATCCATTACGAAAACACCGTTGCTATCCATGGATGTAATTTGGTCTACGTGCAATGTTTGGGGGCTGGGTAAATTGTACATTGAATTAGGATACTGTATTTCCACCAATGCCATTTCCCATTGTCCCGGTAGTGATAAAACACTCTTTAGCTTTGTTGTCCATTCAGCTGCATTATTCTTTGGAAACTGCTGCATACAGGCATCAGATGGAAGCGTGACATAGAAGCTGTTATGAGTCATTTCTCACACGACTGAGTTCGGCTTCGTAATATTTTCCGCGAATTAAGTCCCCGTCTTCATCCACTAATACATAAAGCGGCTCTGGTTGTTGTGGTAGCACTTGATGTATTTTGTAAATTTCCTCCTTAAATGTTGACTCGTATCCTTTTTCAAAAAGTGTTTTGTCGATGGCTACTCGTACTGTGTCACCCACGCCGTACTTTGGTTTTTTCTGTTTTCCCATTAATAATTCTGCATATAATCGATTGAATATTTGCAGAGAATTAGACTGGCTAACATCATTGGGGGTGACTTTATGCGAAGAATGGATTGCGTTGTTGTAACTCTTAACCAAATCACTCAAAACGTCCCAGTACACTTTAGACTGTCGGTGTCGAAATAATTGCCATATACGTTTCTTTAGATTACGTATGCCATTCTCAGCTAAGGATGCTTTGATTGCTTTATTTTCAGACGAGAACAGGAAAACCTTCTGGACCGTCAAAAAATTCTTAACATCCTTATTGTAAAATTCAAGACCTTTGTCGGTTTGCAATTTAATAGGTACGCCAAGTTCTGCAAAGACCTTTTCCAAACCAAATTTAACTTCGGTACCGCTTTTATTCTTTAGTAGTTGACAGCTTACTTTCTTGCTGAAGACGTCGATCACAAATAGTATCCAACGGTACCCCTTGTTCTGTTTCGCATATTTTGACATGTCTGCCAGATCGGCTTGATATTGCTCCGCTAGGTTTGAGACAACTACGGGGTTTCTTTTGAACTTTTTTCGTCGAGATTTGTGGACTGTATATGGATCCAGATGTTCTAGCTGCTCCCGCGTCTGTTGGTAGCTTGTTGCTGGTAGATAGTGGTTGCGAAACTTTTGAATCCCCGTAAAGCTGCCCGGGTGTTGGGGGTTCAGATACGCTTGTCGCAACAGTAGATTGGCCATCGTCTTCGTCGTTGCTGCTGCTTGATCCATCGCAACAGCTAGATGTGCAATTCCAAGTCATACCTTCTCCCAAAGACAAAGAGAAGGGAACACATCCACCACTCATTTGTTATTGACAGTCATCCAGTTGAACTGGGATTTAGTTCTTGAACCGATGGGACCTTCGACTTGTAAAGTTTTTTCATCAAATACTTCTCGCTTTGCACGTTTGCGTTTCGCCGGCGGTGCAGGTGGAATAGGAGGGAAAGCATCTAACATACGATCAGGCATATTAGGTGGTACCCATGGCTTCTTTAATAGTTGTACTGGAATCGGTGGCACAGATGCTGGTGGTGGAATAACCATTTGGTCAGGACCGAACGCCGATTCCTTCAGCGCCAAAAAACGAGCCAAATTTCTTGATAACAATTCTGCCTTTTCCCACTCGCTCAGGGCATTCCTTGAAATGATTTCTTTCATCAAGTCATCAAGTCTCACAATATCTACAGCTTCAGTAGGCTGCTGTTGTAATTGAACATCCGTTGCAATGCGACCAGCCGTGTCGCTGGCAAGTTTCTTCATTTCGCTCACCGGGATAATATAATGCACTTCTGGTTTCATTTTAGTAAAGCAGTTCCCAAAACAGCTGCCAATACAGGTAGAACCGCAGGTAAGAATCCTCCGCGCTGTAATAATATTTCCCTCTTGCTTCGTAAAGGATATTTTTTGAGGGCAATCAGCTTTAATGGTCGACGCCAACGTTGACACACCTTAAGCTGTTCGGCGGTCAGAGGCACTGAATTCTTCACCAAATTTAGACAGATTTCTTCAAAACAGCGAAGTTGTCGTTTCGAAATATTTTCCAAAAGAAAACGACGCTGCTTGGGTTTCAGCGATCGCAGGGTAAGGAGAAACGGAGCAAAGTCTTTTAAAATCTGATCACACATTCTTAGGCAAGTTTGTCGTTTGTGGATCGATGTAAATTTTTGTCAACTCTCCCGGTAATATTGCTGAACGAATCCTTAAATAGGCAGGGGTGTCCGGTTTCATATCCAAAATGAGAGGTTGAAATGGTTCCTGACCGATTTCCTCGTAAGCTCCGCTGAGATGTTTTAAACCAGTCTGCCTTTCGAGAATCTTGATTTGGTTCACATCACGATTATTTTTGAACAGGATAAGATATTGCGCATTAAGATGAACGTCTCGCATAGCAGACCCTTGTTTATATAGGTTATTGAATAATAGAAATACACAAAGCCGTTCATGGTGTACTTTTTGAGTGAAAAGTTTAGATAAATGCTCATTCTTCGCCAAACCGCTTGTCACGTCATCCAGTATCAACAAAATATTTTGTTTACCATCAAAATAATTTTCATCCTCCACAATTTGCTGAATATTTTTTGTCAGTTCAATCCCAGGGATTTTTCGCTGAAGCATTTCGTATGCTGGCTGCATTTCTCCGTACACCAAAATAATTCGTCCAAATGGTTGGTCAAATAATTTATCGCGCTCCATAATTAATTTTGACACATACGTGGTTTTCCCCGAAGTCGTTGGCCCCACAACAAGAACTGAAGCGGGCAATCGGATTCTCAAATCAGCTGTCGTGCGCGGACACCTATTAAAGGACTCCATTTCCAAAGGGAGGAGCTATTGCTAGCGTACCGGCAGCAGAATGGAGAATTCAAAGCGGAGGGTTGTCTTGGATATTGATTGGTTTATCGCTGGCTCCCAACGGCTTATAAAACAGCTGGCATTTTGTGATTGCCAAACCAGTGTTAGCAGGTGCTACACATTCACCATTCCATCCCACTTTAATCATTACCGCGTTGAATTTAGGAGCCAATCGCGCCACTCGCACGGACTTGTCTGGCATAATCGTGGAGATTATTTATACTTAGACATTGCTAGTGCCATTCAGGATATGCTAGAGCTTATTGGTGAACGACCTGCGCGTCTAACGTTTTTTGCCAAAGGATTAGAAAAGCTAAAGATTTTGGAAAATTATCTGCCTGAAGTGTTTAATCTTGAAGACATTGGGTGCCCGAAGTTTAAGGAGCTTACTTCATTACCACAAACAACGCTTGCGAAAGCGGAGACGTTTGCAAATTGGCTGAATGGCGAAGATAACTAACGTAATTGCAACTGCTGACCTCGGCTGCGCAATTGACTTACCCAGCTTATACGAGCGCGCTCCGCTTTCTCATTATGCACCACATAAATATTCCGGGCTTCTTCTCCGTTCCATTCGTCCGCAGAAATCGCACTGCCAAGTGTACCGCAACGGCAAGATCACAGTTAATGGTGCAAAGTCCATCAACGATGCTCTCGCGTTATTGCATCATTATTGCCGGAAACTGCAAAAATATGGCTATCAAAAAGCATCGGTAAAGAATCCACGAATTGTTAACATTGTCGCCACTTTTAATTTTGGGAAATTTCTTAGTTTAGAAAAATTATACAACTCAATAAGAGCAAAAGTCGATGCCATGTTTGAACCTGAATTATTCCCGGCCATGCGAGTCCGGCTTCAAGGTTGTACGGCGATGATTTTCCATTCTGGAAAAATTAATTTATTAGGTGCAAAAGATGCTGATACTCTTCAAACTGCTGAAAACGAATTGCGATTGTTATTAGAAAATGTACTACAGCAATAAATAAAATTACCAAAAAGTTATCGTTGCAGATTTCTGTTGCGTGGCATTAGTAAGCAGTAGTTGTTAATTTAGTAATAAAAGTAAAAACGTTTACCCTTTAAAGTATGTGATACATACTACATATACAGTGCAGTACAGTACAGTACATTGCTCATTAATTAAACTAATTAAAATTCAGTACGAAATGTATTTTTCGTTATAAAAGCATTGAGTGAACATACGAGCATATAGTAATAAATACTCCGATGTAAAAAAACTGCAAAATCAGCAAATTGCACCATACCGTTGACAAGGTGGAAAAAATCTTTGAGAAGTTCAGGCCAACTTTTTCCACCCGCGCCCCCGTTGCTTGTAGCATCCCCGAAACTATTTGCACATAAAAAATATAGCATGTGTTACAACGCAATATGAAATAAAAACATTTGCTTCACTTACTTCGTGTGCAAGAAATCCATCACTTCTGCAATTAGTGGAGTATTTGTTAATAGAAATGCGACATTAGCTCTAGTGGAAAAAAATTTGCGGCGACCCTGGCGGACTTTTTCCAGTTGATCTGCACGCACGCAAAAGCATGTACGCAATATACCGCCAGACTGCAAATAACTGTAAAACTTGATTACACAGTACAGTCATAATGTATAGTAGTAAAGAAAATAGTATTCTATCGTACCTGTTAGTTTTCATGATTATATATGTATAAATAAGTTGCGAATAGAATAGAGCAAATAGTTATATCCACTGAAAAGTAATTATATGTCACTTACTGTACGTTAAAAGGCTTTAGCGAGCTAGACGCAGTGCTGTGCAAGTCCCTCCATGCTGTAGAAGTATGTAAACAACTGGTCGAATAGAGCATTAAAACTGTATAATGCACTGTGTAATCATATAGTGCATTGCGCACATGTACAGTCCAGATTTATATGCCAGGCAGTGTGCACTCCCGATAATCAATTAATACTCATGGTAATGTAGAAGATAATTATGTGTAACATAAATGCAGGATAACTAGTAACTACTACGGTGATAAACAATTAAGCAGCAAAGACGCGTATGCTGTGCAGCAACATTGCTGACGAGCCATTTGAGCTTGTGTGTTGGTGCCGCTCCACGCGGGAAAAGAATGTAAACAATGTGTGTTTGAATGTACTGTATATGTGTAATATACTGCGTACCATCTTATACAGTATACATGTACACTGTTGAAATGACTCGTATGCTGGAGTTGGGAACTATAGTAATAAAGTCCAACAGGGAATTACAGCTGGAAGGTATAGCTCCCAACTCCAATTTATTACGTAAGTGCCGCCATTTTTAAATAATTGATGAGTCATATCTACTTATACAGTATCGCATTTCTTCTTAGGTGTAGTTGCTTTAATATATATTAATTCGGCTTTATTTAAGTGGGATTTTTCCCTGTTTCAAACTCACGGCTTGATGTTAATGTCATAAATATAGTGCTGAAAAATGCTTAATAAATATGAAATGTAAAATGTGTTGGCTGAAAGTAGCCAACACCGTGCAGGCCCGCTTCGGCCGCCTGTTGCAGGAGCAGAACGGGAATCACGCCGTGGTTGTCGCCGAGGATGCCGATCTGAACAAGGCGGCCGGCGTCGCTTTATACAAGCAGACCATCGCCGACGCCCAGTTGGCCGGCTTCCGCGTCCTCGTGGGCGGGGAACCCATCAGCCACGCCTCCGGTGGCAACTTCGGCTAACCGACCATCATCCCCAACCTCTCGCACAACGCCCCCGTCCTCCTCAAGGAGACCTTCGCCCCATTTCTTACGCCCTGAAATACCGGACTTCGAAGGAGGCCATCGCCTGGAATAACGAGGTTGACCAGGGATTGTCGTCCAGCATTTTCACGCAGAATACCGGGACGATGCACGCGTGACTGGGCGTCGGCGAATCGGACTGCGTGATCGTCAACGTCAATAGCAGCACGTCCGGAGCAAAGATGGACGAGCCGTCGGGGCGAATAAGCACACCGGCGGGGGGACGGGAGAGCGGGAGTGATCCGTGGAAGCAGTATATGCGCCGCCGAAGGCGTACGAATAATTACAGCAGGGAGCTGCCCCTCGCGCAGGGACTGAGTTTGATTTTTTAGAGTGTTCTTCATGCCGGTCGCTTGATTGTGGTGTTTGTTTGCGGTGTGTTGTACTCGTAGTATAGTGGCTTAGAAAAAAACGCTGCTCGGAGACGATGATGCAACGTGAAAAATTAATAAAAAACGATGGAAAAATATTAGTAATCATTTAACACTCGAAATACAGAGAACTTTTTTAAAAATAAACATATGAAAAACTTTATCAAAATTACTTTTTAAAATTCTTGCCGGTTGTTTGCGCAGTTTTCTTGCCGGCTGTGTAGATATTAAATAAATCAAAGAGGTAGTGATATTAATTTATGGGATTGTCGACGAAATTTTGGCCATTTTACGCGGCGTATGATAGCTACCATTAATTACAAAACATACATCCACAAAAAAATTATTGTTGTACGTTTAGAACATCTGTACGAGGACATTTGGGTGCTGTGAACATACCCTGCACGATTAGGTTGCGATGAACAGCTGGTTTGCCGTAGCTCGCAGCGCTACTGATATCACACTCTGAATGCAAACGGCCATAAATTTAGCCGGCTGTTCATCACAGCCTAATCGTGCAGGGTATGTTCACAGCACCCAAATGTCCTCGTAGCGACGCAAACGCCAGAAGAAAAGGTGAACAAGCAGAACATCTGTCCGCTGAGGATTAGCACTGACAAAGACATCCAAATGCCTGATTTTTATCTTGACGATGTTTATTTGGGTGCTTGGTGTCCATCTCGGTTTTTGCTGATGAAGTTTCTTCGCCGTATTATCCACTAGTCTCGGTCAGTCGCAGGAAGCGTTGGGGTGCTCTCTTCACCATTGCCTGCTTCCGGCAAAGAATTTCCAGCATGATACCCGGCTGTCTATGCCGCATAAGCAGCCGGTATCAGGAATTCTTTGCCGGTAGCACAAACGTCATTTCGCGACTCATCATTCACTGGTGATAAGATCCGTTATTTCGGTCCGTACTTCCATGGAGCCTGGATCACAACAGGGCTGCATAAAGTATGGGCCTAAATAACATTATTTAAAATTCGCAGTTATTGTCGAATATAAGGTAGAAAACTTTGAATTTGTACTGGTAGATGCTTCGTTTTATTCAATTTTCGAAAAGACGCGTGTGGCAGCGTTGTAAGAAATAGCATTTACTTTATTTTACCCACCTCGCCAGGAACTTAAGGCATGAGCCGCTTTAGGGAATGCATTTACGTGTTTTATCTTGCAACGTGCGCTCAAGTGTTTGTCTTATCCGGCCTTTATTCCCAAACGGCACAAGCCCTGCTCAGTGATGTGCGCTTTCTGAGTGATTTCCTGAAAAATAAAACGCACCAAGAATCAACGAGGGACTGGTGTGCTCATGCGTGCCGCCGTGCACGACGCGTTCTGCTATATACAATTTTGCGTAGCTTTTTGGCTCGACCGGGTCCCGCTTGCTTGCAGCAGTACTGTATTACAATGTACGACAAAAAGAGGTTGAACCGACCGGCTTCGGTTTAACGCATACTGCTTCGGTTTAACACATACTTGTTGATTTTATTATTAAATTTTTGAACCGTGAGCCGACCGGTCGGTTCAACCTCTTTTGTCGTACATTGTATCTTGAAAACAGGAAACAAAGCAAGGGTGCCGGCTTTCAATTGCGCGAGGGTGGTACTGAGTCTTGACTGGATGGCAGTCATGTGTCATGCTTTGCAGCTCTTCCAGTGTTGGCTACTCCAGTGAGTGACGTCTAACGGGTGCTCAGGAGTCAGGTCAGATCACTTTGACCATGACCTGTCCCTCGACCATTTGTTACTGAGCCACATGGCACGCTTTGCGGAAGAATCCGTAGAAATGGTTCCTTATGCAGTGAACATTTAAAAGGTAATTTTTGATTCTGGTATATGGATATCGGTTTATCGATTCAATTCATAAATAAATTTGGGAACCGTGGACCGACTGACCGATTTATTTCTTAGTCCTGCATTCAATACAAATATTTGTACTTGAAGCATTGATATAATACTTAGGTTTTGAATCTACGAATCGTGAAAACAATGTAAATTAGATCAAGTGAAATATTACAAGGTACAACTGCCCTTTATTCAACATTGCGGCACGATGCTATGTAATATGTACGACAGTCGGCTGCTATAACGGTTCCCAGAACGCTCATTTTAAACTTCACAGTTTCGCTCTTTCACACCAATAGGGCCTTCGCAGCGGCCGAAATGCTATTGTTGCGACAGTTGGGATCATTTGTCACTTCCGCGTATGACGGAGGGAGATCCCCTTCGTGCTGCGTTACAGCTACATTGTACGCTGGCGGTTCATCGCTCGCATTACACGGAGTGATTACAGAGGGTAGCGGTGCCGCAGGGCGTGGCAGGAAGGTTTCCACTGCAGAATTACGTGGTCTTTCGATGAGCGGCTGTGATCTACACAAGTACGCGCTGATGCACACCGACAGCGCGTAAAAGACCAGTTCCACGACAAGAATGACAGATCCCAGTATAACTTCGCTATTGCCGGCCGATTTCAAAACCGACCTCTCGGCTCCGTTAAGGCTCCCGTTGATGATAGTACTAACAGCGATTAGTACGCTGATGGTCATTAGGCTCGTGTAGACACGATAGAACACCCATCCCCGTAAAGTACAATTCTGACGGGTGGGCGGTCGAGATGGCGGCCTGGTTCCTTTTACCAATCCGAACAGTCCGATTAAGTTGTACAGGATTACCCATGCCGACGATGCCGTTCCACAAAACAGGGTTTCGCCAATTTTTTCCACATCTAAAAAACCAAAGCGTACGTCTAAATTCCGTTATGAGGTTTTCCATAACTTAAAAATGAGGTCTGTAGCGAAATTGAGCATTCTAGTTCGAGCCCGGAAAGCAGCTGTATGTTTAACCGGGCGAATTGTCCAGTTCTAATGTGGGTTTCCTAAAATTTTTTTGAATGGCAGCTATGAACGATTCGCTTATTTGTAGAAGGCAGTAATTATTGGCAAATAGTTGCTCGCTCATAATTACATGTATTCCGTTTTTCGCGCATTGTTAACCTCTGTTATGGTCTTATGGATGTACACTGTATACAAAATCTCAGCTTATTCTTACCATGCAGGTTGCGCAGGATCATCAACGGCAACGCCAATAACCCAAACGGCAGCTTGACGAAAGTCTGGAACACTGTCCAATCGTAATAGTCCTGGATAAACCCGGCCTGCTCAAATCTCTTCCAGTGAAAGAAGGCAATAACGGCGGTCGGCAGCTGACCTTTCCTCAGGGCTATAACAGCGGATGCTATGCACGCACCATTTACAATGAGGAACACATAGGCAGCGGCCGAAAAGAGTATTATAATTCCTGGTTCATTCTGCGTAGCGGTTTGCAGAATGACGCCCAGTGCGACCAACACGTCGATGACCATGCAGATCAAATAAACTCTGCCGATCCGGAAACCTGGTGCCTGGTGGTTGGCGACTCGTTCCCGGCCGTTGGTGTACTTTCCATATCCCCGGTGATCGGCGATCACTCCGGCAATATTATACAGCAGCGTCCACGCGATGAAGGTGTATGCTGTTGCCAGATTGCTGGACACCATACGGGCTGCAAAATTACACACTCAACTTCATGGACAATGGAAATGACATTTTCGACATGCTGATTAAATTTTTTTTGTTATTGTTATTGATTTTAACTGCTGCTCAACAGAGCACACTTGTTTTGCCGAATTCACGTTCGGACAGATTAAATTCATTATCAGAAATTTAATTACTATTCACGGCAGCTGAAATTTAATTACTAATCACGGCAGCTGAAATTTAATTACTAGCTGAAATTTAATTAACTAGTGACCTAGCTTAAATTTAATTACTAATCACGGCAGGCAACACGATTCGCTGTTACGCGCATAAATCGTTCATATAATTTTGCTGAAGAAACTACAAAAACAGACATGTGTAACCGGCTAAAATATCCGACGAACATTTTTGCCGGTTACAGACGTTTGCGTAATGCTGCAGTCTGCTGTCTGCAGAGAACAAAGTTTCTATAGATTTTCAGGCGATGTAGCCGTGATTGCATTTAAATGTAATTTTTTTATTTTTGCTTGAAAATAAAATTGTTCTTCCGATCAGAATGGTTTTCAGGCCGCCCAGTAAATTTTAAGAATTCATATCTGTACTGAGAAATGTAAAACAGTGTTGTGTAAACTGTCACAAGGTAGTAAGTAGGTACATAAGATTAACGGCGTTCACTTTACTTACCTTGCGGCATGGTCAGTATGGCAACGGGAAATGACACAAACATCAGGTGCACAAAGGACAACTTGGATACCAAATTATAGAATGTCGATTTCCGCGGCCAGGAATCGTCGCTCATAAGGTGACGCAATTGATGATGCATCGTCAATGCAGTACTTTGACTTTACTCAACAACGGATCACCTTACTGTTAGCTATACATTTCGAACAGCGAATTGCTGGCCTCCCCATGTGGTGCGACACCTCTTCGCACGACGTGTTACCTTCTACTCAAAAATCCCGAACAGTGAGAGTTCGGAAATTTTCGAATAGAAGATGGTCCAAAGATTAAGGTTATCGTTTCATTTCATACTGCAACGTCTCCAGTCAACCTTTTTTCTTTAACGACATAAACATGCCCTCGATTTCATGTTATAACAACTAAAAACGCAATAGAACTCTAAACTGTGCAACACACGGCGAAGGTTTGTTACAGTATGAACTGCGATAAGCAGTTGATCCTGTAATACACCACATGTTGGCCACAGGTCCATTGTACAAAATCCCTAACTGAAGTGATCCGTTGTTGGGAAAAGTCGAAGTGTCGTGCGAGCATGCAAGAGAGCCAGTTGCAGCGTCAACCTCAATTTCTGTGAAATACGCGACCCTGTGCCAGTGCAGGAACAGGAAAAACTAGAAACTGGGCTCAAACAATTTTTGATACCAACCATACCAAAAGAGAAACAAGTTAGAGCTGCAGCAGGTTAGGATACCAAGAACCGCATAGCGTCCGCTGGCAAAGCTATTAAGTACAATTAGCCAACGTTGCTAAATGCAATTAGAGTACTGCAAGTTGTCGGCCCTTGAGGATCTTACATACTGTTCCCGTC